AGTTGGAGGTTGCTGTGAGCATGATGCCATGACACTCTACCCAGGGGGGACAGCTTGAGGCTCTGTCTCAAAAAAAAAAAAAAAAAAAAAGATGAGTAAAACCAGGGAATCTACAGATTAGTGGGAGAGATAAATATAAATATACAAATATAAATTGTTTTTAATACATGGTGCCAAGCTTTGGTATATATGTATAGAAAGTGCTTTAGGAACACAGAAAGGAAGGATTACTCTACCTTAGGGCATTGAGAAGGCAGAATCAAAAATGTGGTATTTGCCTAGGGTTATGAACGATATATGGTATTCATGGAGAATCAAGAGTGTAGCGTAGTAAAAATAAGTTCTATTATGTTCTAGTATAGCAAGATCGTGGGGTTTGTAAGGAAAAGTAGAAGATGAGTCTTAAGACACATATGTCAAAGAGTAAAGACTTTATTTTCTAAAATAAATAAGCCTGGTTCAGTTGCACACATTGATAGTCCCAACTACATGGGAGGCTTAGGCAGAAAGATTGCTTTAGCCTAGGAGTTCCAGGCCAACCAACCTGCATAACATAGCGAGATCTCACATTAAAAAAAAAAAAAAAAAAACAGATTTTTTTTTGGCAGTGAAGTAATCTGTTTAGGTTTTTCAGAGATAATTCTGACAGCCATGTAAAAGGGGAAACCTCCTTGGAAGCAGTTAAAGGGAGTGCCAAATAAGAATCATGGCAGCTCCAAGCGTGGTTGAAACTTACATTAATGTTGAATAAGTACTAACAGCAGCATCTGTTTTTTCTTGTTTCAATTTTGTACTTAAATTGGGATAAAAAATATGTTGAAAACCATTCATTCATTCATTTACCAAATATTCAGTGCCTGCAATGTGTCAGGAAATTACATTTCAATAGAGAGAGATAGTCTATAACTAACAAATAAACTGTGTGCTATGTTATCAAGTGATAAGTGTTATAGAAAAATGAAAGAGCAGATGAAGACAAGAGGGAAAAGAGGAATTTGGGGAGTGTTCAGGATAGGCCTCGCTGAAAGAGGGGAAATCTTAGAAAATATTTGTAGGTGATGAGGCAATAGATGTCCTGGTGATGAGCATTCCACAAAAAGAGAACAACTAGAACAGAAACACTAAGATAGAGAGCATGTTACACAGAAAAGAGGCCAAAGTAAAGTGGTCAAGGGGTAGAGTGGTAGATAAAGTCAGAAGGCAAAGGTAGGAATGCAAATTATTAGGGCATTGTAAGGAGTTTGACTTTTCACTCTGAGTGAAATGGAGAGGCTTTTCAAGATTTTGAGTATAGGAGTGAAAAGATCTACAGGTGCTTAAAAAGTGGCAGATTTTGGACTTTTAGATTTAGGATGCTCAAACTGTGTTATGTACTGCTATTGACCTTAAAATATACTCTATATATTGAACTGTGGTGCTCCCCAGCTTCAAGGATGAATTTAGATATTGCAGAAATCAATGTACCCGTGCTATGGCCAGTAATAGAAGAAAAGCAAAAAT